ATTTATGAAGCCACTTTAATCTGTATCGCATAAAAACTTGTTATTAATTGTTATATTACAATCCTGCCACATTCAAAAAGCTTATTTTTTGTAAATAAAAAGCCTGACAATGTCACTGCTTAATACCTATAAGTATTGCGATTTATGTTTTACTTTGGCAATCTCTCTGTCTCCCTCTGTCAGACATGCAGAAAAATTTACCGTCAACTACAGACGTTGCATCCATCGATTCCGCCATGTTTCTCATTGACACGCCCCCAACTCAGAAACTCGGGGCTTAAAGAAAATTTCGAGTTTCCCACTCGTAATAACGACTTTGTGGTGGCGTTCATGTGCGTTCAACTCGTAAATACTATCTATCCGACATGACTTGAACGCACCATAACTCCTCACATGTGCAAACACTCATTGCTTTACTTAACACCAACCAATCATGGCTTTAGAATAGGCCTATAAATACACATATACACAGACAGCGTAAAGGGAGTTGGAGGGAGAGCCAGAGGACGAGGCAGAGTTTGAGTTAGAGGAGGAGAAGTTCAAAGAGGAGCAAGAGGAGGAGTTGGAAGGGGAGCAAGGGGAGGAAGAGGATGAGTCGGACAGCGAAGAGGAGGAGGACAAAGACCAGGAACAAGAAGAGTGGTCTCTGATGAGATTAGGAGATCATGTGATCAACCATGGTCTAACAATGAGAGAGGCTGGACAGAGAGTCCAGCCTAATTTGAGTCGATTTACAGTAGCGGGTATAATTCGAACCTTTAGAAATGATAACAGGTATGTAACAATTTACTGTAATGTAGATGTTCTAATGTACACGTAATAGCTATTTCAGCATAACATGCGGTATACTATAATACATATATTTTAGCACCCATGCATCCATTTACTGTAGTGCACTGCACAATTGGTCACAGTCTGGTGGGTTATCATACTGTACAACAGTACAGCTCAATGTAAGAAGACATTCTGACTATATTGTATAAAATAGTATGTATTATGTTACAGTTTATGGCATACACTCACACTATTCTTGAATCTTCTACAGAGTAGCAAGGTGAAAGTTTCATGGTGGGCGAAGTCACAAGTTCACTGAAGAGCAAGAGACGGCTATCGTGAATTTGGTTTTGGCCAATAATGCAATAAGAAATGGTGGGCGAGGTCACAAGTTCACTGAAGAGCAAGAGACGGCTATCGTGAATTTGGTTTTGGCCAATAATGCTATAAGAATTCGTGAAATATGCAATCATATCCTTAATGATGCCACAATTTTTGCTAACATAAATGCTGTGAGCCCCTCAACAATACATCGTGTCCTCCAGAGAAATCAACTGAGAATGAAACGGCTGTATAAGGTCCCATTTGAAAGGAACTGTGACAGAGTCCAGAACCTTCTACATGACTTTGTGGAGGTAGGCATACAACACTTTCTCCAATATATCAGACTTGCACCTACCAAGTAAAGCTACTGGGTTGTGCATATACTGATCTACGTGTTATTTTGTCCTTTACAGAGAATTTTGGAGATGGATGCCCATGCTATCATCCATGAATACATTTATGTGGATGAGGTGGGCTTCAATCTCAGCAAAACCAGAAGAAGGGGGAGAAATGACATTGGATAAAGGGCCATTGTCAATGTCCCTGGACAACGTGGCGGAAACATTACAATGTGTGCTGCAATTACACAGATGCCATGCCAGACTTGGCCCCTATAACACTGATCACATCATATGTTTTCTGGATGTTGTTCATGATATGCTTGTTCAAGGTCTGCAGAATGAAGACCAGGCTAGATTTGTCATCATCTGGAATAATGTCAGCTTTCATCGCGCCCATCAGGTCCAAAACTGGTTTGTTACTCATCCCCATTTTTCTGTTGTCTACCTGCCTCCATATTCACCATTTCTAAACGCTAGAGGAATTTTTCTCCACATGGCGCTGGAAAGTGTATGATCGTCATCCCTATGTCAACATGACACTTCCCCAGACAATGGAGGAGGCATGTGCAGACATTGATGCCGCCTCCATCCAAGGTTGGATACACCATACAAGGAGGTTATTTCTACGGTGTCTGGCAAGAGAGAGCATGTGACGTAGATGAAGTATTGTGGCCGGACCCAGCCCGGAGGAGGGATTGAGCCTAGATGCACCCAACCATCGCGCGTGCACACACACACACACAATTCCTTTGGAATAATCATCTTTTTTCAAAATTATGTTTGGATTCTGTCCAAGTACACATTGTTGTATTTTCTTTTCTCTAGTACTGTATTCACAACCACAAATGCTTACAGTAAAAAAATAAATAGTTTGGTTTCAGTCTTGCTTTCGTGTTTACTGTGAATTTTCAAAATCTCTCTGACCATTACTTTCGATCTTGTACAGAAATGTCCATAGGAGCTCATGAAAGAAGAGCTTTAGGTTGAGTTACTGTGTATGACATATCCAGAAATATATTATGGCAAAAGTGTTTCCAACGTAAGACCGATGTTTGCTTTTGAGATGTGTTTGTGATCTTTTGAATGCAGTGTGTCATTTTGCAAGAGATGTGAGGCATTTTGTGTTTTGTGTGTGCAATTCTTAGATTTGTGTGTTAAGTTTTAAAAAAAGTAGGTAAAGTTTAGAAAATGTGTGTAAGCAGTTGAAAAAAA